ATTGTGTAATAATAAAAAAATGTAAGGTTGAAATTATTTTTCAGATAATTTTTTGTTTATTCTATTAATAAAATGTACTCTATAATTTATATATTGTCCCTCCATAATTCAACAACTCAATCATGATAGAGTAGCATATATGACAAAGCATTCAATAGGACAATAATCACCATGCATTATGCATACATCCACATGAAGAAAAACTTTAATTTACTTTAAAAAAAACTTTAATTTACTACTACGTCTTAAATAGAAAGCAATCGGCCTCTTCGAAATGGTTTTGACAGGGATGCTCCGTCTATCGAGTGAGTGTCTACGCTGTGCCAACGGCCAATTATGTGGGAATGTGGGAATTAAGGGTTCTAAACCAATCAAATACTCCCTCCGTCTCCGAAAGAAGTTCACACTTTCCTTATTTGGATGTCCCTAATTTAAGTTTTCATTTCCTTAAATGGAAAGTTATTTACATCAAAAGTCAAAACAGTGTCAAACAGTGCCAAACAGTGTCAAAACAGTAAAATTTACCCCCTGATAAGTTTACTTGCATAAAAGTGTGTGAAAGTCAAATGAGAAACTTATAATTTATACACGGTTCGTGATTCGAATTTGTATAAGACTATTCGAATTCAAAAATTTCAAATACAAATACAAATAAGAATATTAAATTTGAATCGAATTGTTATCAAATACAAATAAGAATATCAGTGTATTCGATTCGAATATTAATCAAATATATTCGATTAATAATAGTGATAATATTTATAATAATATGAATAGTAATAGTAATAATACTATAATAACTTTTAAATGATAGCTATACACTCAAAATATAGCCCATATATACATTTATGTATACAAATTTCAAGCTCATTTGTAATAAATCAGAAGTGTCATATGGAGTAAGGATTGTAAGCCTGTAAGGGAAGCAAATGATTTTAATTCGATTCGTGATTTGGATTCAAAAAATATGATTTAAATTTGAAAATATAGAATATAAATACGAATACAAATCATATTTTTGTTTCAAATATCTTTCAAATGTGAATACAAATAATTATGTATTCAATTCAAAGAATAAAATTAGAGTCGTTTGACTATGATATATACATAGTCGTTTGACTATGTATTTCACACATTATATGTATAATTTCTAATATGTTAGTGTTAGTACACAACCTAAAAATGCATCGATCCATTAAATTTTAAAGAAAAATGTACTTTTACAAAGTAAATTTTAAAAACACATATTAAGTCATAACATGCATTTATAACTTAAAAAATATAAGAAAAATTACTTTAAAGTGATGTTTGACAAATAGTTAACTTATGCTCAAATCGATTCGATATTCATATATGATTCGTTAATTATTCGTATTGTTAGACATATACAAATACAAATCGAAATTAATATTCATTTCATATTCGAATTCGGATTCGTATTCGGAAAAATTAAACAATTACAAATACAAAATCTCACTATTCGACTCGATTCGATTCGTATACACTGGCCGCTATGTTTGGTATATATCATACGCTAGCTATTTGCTCTTTGAAGAGGAGTTTTCAAAGTTTGGATTGAAGTTTTATGATTACCGTAAGTATCTGATCTCTGTGTATTTTAAAATTTTTAAGGTTTAATGTGATTTAACCTGGTCTGATCTGCTTAAGTTTGATTTATTCTGATATGATCTGTTTAAATTTGATTTGACTTGTTCTGATATGAGACTGAAATCAATCCAATGAAAATACCCTGACTGGATGAGCTTGAGACAAGTTCCCTTATCCATATAGCGAGCTTCTTGTGTATAGTCAATAATTTTAATGAGTATCAGGCTCGATGCCAAGTCTTTTGCAAATATGTAGAGCCTATAAATTGCCTATTAGTTACATAATTAAAGTGAATCTCATTTACCATATATATTTAATTTGTAAATATGTGAAGCCTACGTAAACTTATTCCCATACATCAGATTGCGTGCTCATTAATGAGCTATGAGCATTTTGGGAGTGTTTGCGATTGCTTGTACTTTTTAAAAGTGATTTTTTTAAGAGATTATTGGAAAAGTGATTTATAGTAAAAGTAGGTAGTGTTTGGGAATAGAAGTGATTAAGATGAAAAAGTTAAAGTGGAAGTGTTTGGTAAAAAAGTAATTTTTAATAGAATATTTTGTTTAACTACAAAAATGCCCTTGACATATAAAATTTTCAAGCATCTCTCCCTTGCCCAGCCTCAAAGCCGATCTTGTCTTTCAAAGCAGGCAGTATGAGGCACCATCTCTCCTGCAAGCAGGGACGTAGCTAGGGCCTAGGGGTGGGCCTGGCCCTTGCCCAGCCCAAATTTTAAAAATGTCTTTATTTTTAGTATAAAAGATTTCGTGTAATTTTTTTTCAAAAATATTCTTTGTGCCGGCCCCAGTCTGGCCCAGTGTCCTGGCTCCGCCCCTGCCTGCAAGGGTGCAATTGCTTCTTTCAATTGAAAAAATAGAAAGCCGTATAAGGTAGCATATATTCCTCCCTGCAAATCTGCAATTGCTTCCTCTTTTGTTCGAAATTGCTTCTTGCAATTTGAAAGACATCACAACAATCTATCCCAAAAGACATGGAAGCCATATAGGACGGGCTGCCTCAACAGATCTGGAAGTTAAGCTGTGGCGGTGATCCTGTTCACGGCAGCCTCAGAGCGCCTGGGGCCTTGCGCTCTCCTTCCATCCTTCTGGCTTCTTGTTAATTAATAAAACTATATATATATACATATAATTAATTATATATAATTATATATGTATGGAATGAGCAGGTGAGGAGCTAAACGGGAGTTATGGAGTCGGGGATGAAGAAGTACCGAAGGAGATGAGGGTATCTTTGGTCCAAGCTAAATAAATGTTCCATTATAACTATCCTAAAAGTTTGAATTAATTACAAAAAAACCAATAAGCAGTTAAAAGCACTCCAACTCCAACTTCCAGCTTTTGACTTCAAAGTACTTTTTTTAAGTAGAAGCAGGTGATTGCAAACTAGGGGTGGCAGCGGGTCGGATTTTTACCGGGTGGAGGCTCATCCACGTCCACCCGTTAATTTTTTATACTCCACCCACCCGTCCATCATCCATTAAAAATTACATCCACATCCAACCCATCCATCTTGAACGGATTATCGGGTGGATCGGGTGAGTAGCGGGTGAAGTATAAATGTTCAAACTTGAGACAAAATAAATAAATTACAAAGAGATATCATGACAATTAAGAACCAAAAATTAAGAATTCATTGTAAAATAACAACAAAAACATGAGCAATTAAGTATATTATTACAATCATTAATTCACTGCCAATGATAAAGAAAAAAACTGAATGTTAAACAAAATAGACATAAAACTTCTTTGCATTTATGCATCGGCACAAAACTATTTTTGCTATTTAACTGCCACTTCTTGAAGCTCTCCAATTATCTTTGTTTCACCAATTAACTATTATTATTATTATTATTATTATATATTATTAAATAGATAGAATATATATTATATATTATATATTATATAATTATATGCGGGTCAGCGGGTGGGTGGATGGAACGGGTGACGGGTCGGGTGATGGGTTGGATGAGCCTTCATCCACACCCGATCCACCCCGTCTTTCGATCCACCCGTCATCCATTTTTCATCCATACTTCTTCGGGTTTTCATCCATATTTTCGGTTCGGGTTGACCGGGTATCCGCGGGTGCGGGTGATATTGCCAGCCCTATTGCAAACACTATTTTCTGCTTTATTTAAGTTAAAAACTCACAAGTGCTTTTTTTAAGTGTTAGCAAACACTGGTGATTTTGGGATATTTGAAACGCGTCACTTTTATGTTTTTAAAATAAACTAGTTTATCTCATCCCAAAAAAAAAACTAGTTTATCAAGTAATTATCAATTGAATCATTCAAAATTAACCAATTCACATAGAGCCGACGCTTCTCCCATTGCCGATGAGTTGCTGCTAACTGAGGACGACTGTGTCAGATATGAAATCCGTCCTTCCGAGGCGACCGCCGTTTGGAATAAAATAATACCTTTAGAATATGATTACCCTTAATGTTGGCAACATTGCTTCTGACTTTTAACTTAAAGTTGATTGATAAAGTAAAAGTTCCCACATGTTATAAATTTATACACCGTATTTAATTATGAACAAATTTAATTATCAAATAAAAGAAAATTGATTAACATGTTTGCATAAAAGAGATCTTTTACAAAGATACATATTCAATTACTACAAATAATATTAAGAAAATTGATTTTCGATTTATTAAATGTATTCATAAATGAGATTTTGTGCATGGACAATTATTTAACACATTTTCTAAATCACATAAGTTAATACGCTACATTTTTATATTAATGAGATTTGGTTAATTAAATCCCACTACAAGGACCATAACAAAGTGAGTGTGAGACTCTCAGAGGTAAGTGAATAAAAGCAGATGATGGCACTAATGCCTAAATGGCTAAATTTTATTTCATATACTTGAGTTTTCAAAAGTTTCGACATACTCTTTCCAAAATAAGTGTCACATTCTTTTTTTGGAAAGCATATCATTTCACTTTATTATATTCAAATTGCAACAATAATTTTTACTTTTCAACCACTTTATTAATAGTTATATTAATAGTTATGTCAAACCAAAAGAAGATGCGAAAAATGGGACAGAGTTAGTATTAAAAATCTATATTTATATCTTTTCAATATTTCGAGATTATACACATTACACAAACGATATTATGATACATCACCAAAACTTTGGGATATCAAAGTTCACACATGACATCAGTAATTCAGTATTATGTTTATGCCAAAACGCCCAATAATCCAAATTTAACTCATGCCTCATGGTATACTCATGAAACAGTGATGGAATGCGCAGCAGTCAGAGTTATCTTGGATGATAGTTTTAAGTTTTAACTTAAGAAAACTGCTATCTATTTTGAAAAACATTAAAAATAAATTTCCTAATTATATGGTGAAACACTGAAACAAAAGACATTGGTGAACTGTCATCTATTCCAAATTTGAAAAGAGACGAAATAAACATATTTTCTATTTTCCAAGCCATAAAAAACTACAAAGTATTACAGTTCTCTAGTTTTTTAATTTAATTAGTAAACGCCCCTATAAAGAAATTGTCCTATATGGGGGGAGCTGTTACATAACCTGAATGGGGAACATAAGAGCATTAACCATGACCAAAACTGCCAACTGTACAATGTGCGTAGGAGGGGACGAATGGATCATCATTATCATTAGTACAAGTATTAATGTTTGACACCCACAAAGCATAACCCCACCTCAGCTTGGGCCTGCAGGTCTTCCAGCACTTTGACAAGTTTCTCCCTGCTCATTGCAGTTTCAGTTTGACCCAACATCTTCCTCACTCTGCACATGCAAAAAAAAAAACAGGAAACCTGATTATTTACTACTAATTACTGTTGTTAACTTGTTATTATATTAGACGAGTAGCAGTTATGCCCCAGCATTTCAACAAACACAAATCAACATTCACAAATCCACATGAAAAGTTTTACTCCATAATAAAAGCTTCTATAATTCTACTCTATAAGACTGCAGCCATCCAGCATTCCAGCCTCCTGGAAGTGGTTCTGGATCTTCTGGGGGATGCTCTGGGAGCACTTAGCATTCAGCCACTTGAGGGGTTCAGTCAGAGCACTAAGTCTATGTTTGGTGTGCTTTAAGATACTAAAACCTCTTTAAACTTCTTTAAGGTTGAAGTTAATAAAACTTCTAAGGTTGCTTACTCGATCAGTTTCTTATGAGTAGTTTTCGAAATAACTTAATACTCTTTATGAGTAGTTCCACACTTCCACCTCGACCTCTCTCTTTTTCTAAAAATTATTTATAATTCCACTACACATCATTATATATTTCTAAATTAGTCTGTTGGCTAATTTTTACTCAACACAATATGAGATCAACTAGCATATCAGCTATCATTTTAGATGGCTTATCAGCTTGATTTTACAAAACTAGCCTAAGCGATCAGATCTCCTAAAGCATCAATGTTTTTTCTCCAATTCTTCAACTAATATTACACCATATATATCTTACACACAGATGCAAATTCTCAAAGACGCCCACTGAATAATTCAGTTTGATATTTTACAGATTGGAATAAGTAACAATATACTGTTGAGTTATATGACAGAGAACATGTACACCCCTTAAAAATTGGGACCACTAAACACAAAGTTGAAACAAATATACCCTTGATTTATCTATTATAGAACATATATACCCCCAAGTCCCAACTATTTGTGCTTAATTTTTCCTGAAGAAAGTTGAGGAGCATACTGTTCTCCAATATATTGTTCACGGCATATATATTCCTTCTCTTTCATCAGATTCAACAAAAATTTATACCCAGCCATACACAATTTCATCAGAAGAATCATTTCAAATTTACCGTTGAACAATTGCAGTGTTTCCATGACCAGTGCAAATAATAAGCATCGCATTTTGAGGTAGATTGGCATACAGGTTTTTAACCCTGGTATCCATGCGGTTCAGAATGGTTTCCAATTCAGGTGTGATGTCATATTTGATGCCTTTTTTGTTTGAAGCCTTCTTGCTCTCACACGTTAGCAGTGATATCATCTGTGCTAACTTCCTATTCAGCTTCTCTGCATCATCTGATTCTTTCTTGAAGTAGGAATCCAATTCGGAAAACTGGGTCCAAATGAAATGCACCTTACGATTTCTCACCTGCAAAGGCAACAAAACAGGGAAAGGGAAAAATTACACATAAAATATGCAGTGTAAGAGCTTTTGAAAAGATGCAATCCTCATTTACCTACCTCTTTATTGGCTTTTGAAAGAGCTTCATCATCAGATGACACTGCAATGGAATGGGATGACTCAGAGGCGTACTTCTTCACTATGGATATACTATCAATTATGGAAGAGGTTTTTCCAGAGTCACTCAAAACTGTGAGGAGTTTCTTCCGCATAAAATTTGATCGCGGTGAACCAAAATCAGGTCCTAGTTCCAGATTATCAAAACAATAATTATAATGAAACTCATAATGCAATTTTCTAAAAGATCAGTCCATGAGAGAGTGGCACTTCAATATCATTCATTTCATACCAAACAAGACATAATAGTTCTCACATTGCAATTCTCTATTTGATTGTTGGTGTCCATGAAAGATGCTCTCTATTGAATTGTTATATGCTAAGAACCAACCAGTTGGGGGAGAGCTATCTAGAAATAAGCGAAACATATTTTTGTTATTTATAAGGTTCAATAGATTGTATAGTTAAATATTTACGTACCTAACAATCTAAAATTTTATGCATGTGTCTTGTTATAAATACTACCTACGTTCTTTAATAGTGGCAACACTTGACAGTCAAGTTTTCAAAACCATAACTTTGACCATTAACAACATTACATTGAGACATTAACTTTTTTACCATTAACTTCGACAGTTTTTTTTTTTGAAAATTTATATTGAGACAAATTTAATAATACCTCTGTCCCAGAACAATGGTACCAATTAACCAATTTACTATTCATTAGTCAACGCATTTCACTTTTGATCCCTAAATTTGTGCATCAGTTTTTATCATATTCAAATTTAATTTTGCGATTCAATATAACTTCTATCATAATTTCTAAATTTTAACTTTTAATTCTAATTGTGGTATTGTTGGGGAGAAGTAAACTTTTTCATTGGTCAAACCTAAAAATCCGCAATGGGGTATCATTTTGGGATGGAGTGAGTATTATATTTTATAATGTGATTGTTTAATACATTAATAGCAAAAGTCAAAGTGTTGGAACTATTAACGAACGATGTAGTGCTACGTTATCCGGGGGGAAATGTGGTACGGATTTACAAGTTGTCAAAAGCTCAATGCTTTATACTTCGTACAATAGAAACACAGCATCAATTAGTCCACATTCCATCTATTATTAACTTAGGTTTCTTCAATACGAATATACACGGATAAAACAATATGATTTTAGCAACTAATAAAAGTTACAAAAAATGCTTCAGCATCTACTGTCAAGGCGGCTGACCAAGTTTTTCCAACTATCAAATGGCAAGTTTAAGCACATTTGCATAGCAACAACAACATCCAAGCCTTAGTCCCAAAAGAGCTATTATTAATTTTCTTTTTGTCTATGAACACTTGTAATTTGAACTCCATTATGCTTTTAGTTTTTCTTTCCAAATTTATCAATTTATACTATGTATATCATTTCACGCCTTACTATTTTGTGGGCCCATACTACTTTTTTTTCTTTTTGAAGGTTAAACAATTGTAAAGTAACAACTATCTTCTTTATTTTCCTAAAACGCGTGCTCAGCCCAAATCACCAAATGTATCTTACATTCTGACATGGAGGGAGGAGTAATACATTACACAAGTTTTGCAATAACAATGTAAAATATCATGTTACACTAGGCACAACTTGATTGCATATTTTGTACATTGTGCATAAGAAAAAAAAACATACCATTTTGAATCTTAAGCAGAGCCAGTTCCATTGCAGCTCTTGCATCTTCAACGCTATCGTGCCCATTTACAGAATCTTGGATCTCCCTTCCAAGAAACTTCCTGCTCAGAACACGAAGTGCAGTTTTGTATGACCTTCCTTTCGGGTGTTTGTACAATACAGCAGTGTCAATTACCAAATTGTGAACTATCTTTAGAGCTGACAAATCATTCTCTAAGGAATGCCCAATCAGAACAGTCTCTTTATAGACCAGTTGTAGAAAATCCTCCTGAAGACATGTGCAATGGTTATTAACCCCCCAAAGAGAATGAAATAGAAATCATGGTGTTTTTATGCCAAACTGCCTAAAAGTTAAGGAACTCTATTACACAAAAGTTTACAGTAATGTGAACGCTTCTTTTACAACAACCAATGAGAACCAAGAAATAATTATGCGGCAAAAGGCCCTGCCACTGAACCTGAATATCTTTAAGAGTGGTCGTCACCCCATTCATCATCTCAGGAGTAATTCCACTGTACCTGAAATAAAATCATAATTTCTGGAATATAAGCATCATGATACAAATACAGTGGCGCCATTGAATACCTCAAAAGACTCCTAATGGATAGAATATGACCATCATATGTTTTTATAAGAAATACAGTATAGAATGTAAGGAAGTTTCTTAATTTAAAAAGTAAACTAATGAAAATTATCCTCAGAAGAAAAACATATACATGTACAAGAAGAAAAGGTTTTCAAGAACATACCTTGTATTATAATCAGTAATCTCATTTAGTGGCTTAACCAGTTTATCTAATACAACCTGCCAAATTTTGACAAAACTCATTACTTAAACAAAACTATAGAATTCCATGATAACAAAAAGCTTTTCAGAAATCATGTAAAGGTTTAATAGATCAGCTAGTATTGGCCACATGGCCCACATCTTGATTTGCAAGATAGATGGCCCAGTAGTTTTATTGTATTTTGTATAGAATTGACAGATGATTGTGCACGTAGAAGTGAGGAACAACAAAAAGGTTCACGGCACTGCACAACTTTGTATATTAGAAAATTTAGTAGAGGGGAAGAAGGATGAACAAGTAATCCAGTAGAGACAAGATGAGTCGAGCACAGTCAAAAAGGCATTCTAGTAGAGAGCAGATCAGGCAAAGAATAAAGATCTAATGTTTTAGGATTCTAGTTGGATTCAGCTCCTTTTAATCTTAACTTAAATCAGCGTAGATTTTAAAATGAATAGTAAACCTTGTTGGACCAAACTCTGGGGGGGGGTCACAAGTGAACTGTCTCGTCTGTGCAGATTAATAGAGGCATAACCCTGAAGGTGTGCGCTTCACCTGGGTGGCCACTGGCCGGGTGTGGTAATGTGGTGTTTGATTCTCCATGATAGAGAGAAATAGAAGGCTCAAGATGATTTTACAGCTCTTCGCATCGAAGCACGCCTAAAGGAATAGCCTTAGTACTTTTCAAAACTGTGCTTTTAGGCATAGAATTCATAACAACCTAAAAGTCATGCTCCTTTCCATCGGCATTTTTTACATGGACTGAGCAAAGAACTAGAAGTAGTTATGTGTTAGGTACTTAGGTACTGTTACTGTTGCAAATGTAAGGGTATTGATGAATAATTTGGAAACCATAGCATATCTGTACTTTTAAATGGACCGAATCTTTTTAGATCCATACCCTTGGTCAAAGGGAAAAAAAAATTGAACCATCAGATTGGATCTTGTTTTGCTTTTCAAACATCCTAAAAGAGTTTCCAGTTTCCCAGAAGTTTATCATAGTTCATTTTCTGCTTTTGTTAAAATAATTATCTTTTAAACTAACGCAACAAAATTGCCTAGTCAGGTCCTATACTTTAAGACTTAAGAGGCATCTGGCATGTAAAGGTAAACCAAGATATTCATTTGAGACAGAAACTCTTGTGGAGTACTGGAGTATGAGCCTTTCAACTCACCGGCAATATTGGAAAGGAGAGAATGCACATGAAAGAAACGGTTAAGCAATATAAATAATTACCCTATGTTTATATGTATCAGAATAAGTAACAGGATAGATGGATTCATCAATACCTGCCCTTTAAAATCTACCAGTGTGACTCTAGTGAGCTCAAATCCTTCTTTTGTAATACACTGTCAATTTTTAAAGATTTAAAGTAAAAATAAATAAGAGTGGTAAGATGTACCATATTCTCAAGGATAATGTATATGTCCTATCACTGTCATGTAAGTATCAGCCACCCCTTCCAACCAAATAGAAAAGGATCCACACAATAGAAAAGAAAATGGTGCTCCATGATACATAACATGAATCCAATTTAGCTAATTACTATAATACGACTAGCCCTGATAAATAGTGATGGATATGAAAAATACAAAATGAATAAAAGTAAAAAACAACGCTTAAATGAAGTGTGAAATATACTACTTTTATTCTTATTGTGTGTTCCCAAATGATTGTACAAGGTGTCAAGGTGTAGAAATAGCTGCAACTAGACTAACTGCACAGAATGGGCTCAGCCTAATACACCTAGGCTTAGGGTTTCAAGACAAAGAAAGGGTAAGTTGTTGAGAAATACACCAACATTTAATCTTTTAAGCTTTAAAAAATGTCAAGTCTTAACAACTTAACAACTAAAAAAAACATGACATTTCAAAAAGTCAGTGTATTACATCATCCGTCTATTTTCTCAGGTGGCCTGAATCTTAGTGCAGCTGGGGCTGGACACAGCAGCATTAAACCTCATCGACGATATGACCTTTCAAGTGCTTTGGAGACGCTGAATAAGGGTAGTAGATTCCTTGTATGGATCTAGAGAAACCGTGTTTGGAGGTAGGGGGCTTCTTGGTCCTCTAGTTAGAAGTGTGATTTGGGCAATAGCTAGTAGTTTGCTTGCTTACCTATGTTCTTACCTTCTTTTTATTTTACTGTCCCCTTTAAGTTGTTTTATGTTATTATATTATACTAATTGCTTGTTCACCGCTACCTTTCGTCTTTGGTTACATTTTTCTGATTCAAATCTTTATTTTTTTAAGTTCTGTGAGTTATTAAAGTTTTATCATCTTCTGAACTGGGCTCGCAAGTTTCCACTAGCTAGCTTAGGGTCTTCAAGGAAAAAGTTTCTCTACTCCTTGGGGTAGAGGTAAGGTTTGTGTGTAGCTAATCCTCCTCAAACCCAGACGCAGACCCATTTCTTTAGTGGGGCATACCATTAGGGTCTGTTAGAGCCACTCGGAGCCATGAGAATAATAATAATAGCTACTTTGACAAAGTATATGTAAGGAGAAGTAAGAAGTAGCGGGAAAGGGAGTTCTATAAATAGATAGCGGCTATTGTAATAAAGGAGGCTGGTTTTTTGGATTTGGTTTGGGCTGGGACTTGGAGAGAGGCATCTCTTAAAACTGCCAGAACATTATTCTCTCTCTTGTTTGTTATACGACTCCCCTCATTTACTGTTCATCAATCGATTTTCTCCATTTCCGTTGCTAGATCATATATCGCAGGTCTGATCCTAACATTTGGTATCAGAGCAAGCGATCGTGGTACCTGTTTATGGTGGCAACCAGAAGATCGATGGAAGGAAGACTGGAGAATGTTGAGCGTGAATTGGCGAGGCAAGCTGCGACCATGGAACGCGAACTGGAGAGGCATCGCGAGGAGGCCAGAATCAGAAGCGAGGAAGCTAAACGCGATCTCGATGAGTTTCGCGAGGCGATAATAAAGAGACTCGATCGCAAGCCTCGCAGTCGCAAGTCACGCGGGAGATCAAAAACGTCCACAACCAGTGCGAGGGATGGAAGCTGCGATTCCAGGTCTTCCGCAGGTAATCATCGATCCACATCCTCTAGGCGTGATGGTGAATATCGTAGATGGATTGAGAAATCTGGAAGGAAAGTGGATTTGCCACTTTTTAATGGAGTGGATGCCTATGGATGGACCATTAAGGTTGAAAGATTTTTTAAAATGAACTGTATTGAGGAGGAGGATAAAATTGAAATAATCACTTTAGCTATGGAAGGAAGAGCTTTAAATTGGTTTCAATGGTGGGAGGAACACTCTAATGTAAGGAATTGGGAACTGTTTAAGGAAGCTCTGACCGAGAGGTTTGAACCTGGACTGGTTCAGGATCCATATGGTCCTTTACTGAGTATTAAGCAGACTGGGAGTGTAATGGAGTATAGGGATGAGTTTGAACTGGTAGTAGCACCCTTGAAAAATACTGATGTGAAAATGCTCAAAAGTATTTTTATGAAAGGATTGAAACCTGAAGTGCGAGCTGAGTTGAAGTTGAATCCTGTAAGAACATTGGCAGAATTAATGACTAAGGCACAGATGGTAGAGGAAAGAAACAATACTCTGAACTTCAGCAGGTACAATGAAGAGGATAGAAGAGGCAGAAAAGATAAAGGATACTCTTCAGGGCAGAATCACAAATGGATGGATGAAAACAAATGGAAAAGCAGTCTACACTACCAGCCCACTCAAGGGAAACCTGCCATGGAAAAGAAAATGCTGGAAACAGGGAATAAGGAAGCTGGAAGTAGGTGTAACCACAGGTTATCACAAGCTGAATTGCAGGATTTGAGTAGAAGAGGTCTCTGTTTCAAGTGTGGTGAGAAATGGGGCAAAGACCATATCTGTAAGATGAAAAATTTTCAAATTATCATGCTAGATGAATCGGAGGAGGAAGAAGAGCTGGAAAATGATGATATAGAACTTGATTCACCAGTGCAGGAAATTGATACTTCTAATATACAGCTATCTCTCATGAGTAAAGAAGGCATCACAACTCCTAAGACATTTAAGGTAAAAGGAATATTAAGGAGTGAACAGGGAGATAAAACAATCATTATTCTAATTGATTGTGGAGCAACACACAATTTTATATCCAAGAAGGTAGTCCAAGCAGCAGGTCTACCTACCATCAATATTCCTGAATTCAAAGTGGAGATAGGAAATGGAGAATTGATCAGAAACAATGGGAGGTGTGAATCAGTTTCTATAAAAATACAACAAATTGACATCATCCAAGACTTCTATGTATTAGAGTTGGGGAAGACTGAGATGGTGTTAGGGCTGGAATGGTTAGCAAGCTTGGGAGATGTTGAATTCAATTTCAATCAGCTGACAATCAAGTGGAAGGAAGCAGGGAAAGTCAGGAAACTTCGGGGAAATGTTAACCTCAGTAGAAATCAGTCCTCTTTCAAATCTATCATTAAAACTATGCAAGGGCAAGGTGAAGGTTATTGCCTATTCAGTACTGCAATAACTGAAACTAAAGCGCGGGGAGGACAAGAGAATCCCTGGGTGCAGGAAGTCCTCACAGAATTTGCTGAGGTATTCCAACCTCCAACTGGCTTACCTCCAAAAAGGGATTGTGACCACGCTATTACTATCAAAGAAGGTGAAAACCCTCCCAACATTAGACCCTACAGGTATCCTCAGCATCACAAGAATGAGATAGAGAAGATTGTGCAGGAATTATTAAAAACAGGCATAATCAGGCCTAGTACCAGCCCCTTTAGCAGCCCAGTTTTAATGGTGAAGAAGAAGGATGGGGGGTGGAGGTTCTGTGGTGATTATCGAGCATTGAATAGAATTACAATCCCTGACAAATTTCCCATTCCTATGATAGAAGAACTTTTGGACGAACTGGGGGAAGCACAGATCTTTTCAAAACTGGATTTGAAGTCAGGTTATCATCAAATTAGAGTTAAAGAAGAAGATATCCATAAAACAGCTATCCGAACACATGAAGGCCATTATGAGTATATTGTTATGCCATTCGGTCTCACTAATGCTCCCTCCACATTCCAAGCTTTGATGAATACAGTGCTGAGACCCTATTTGAGGAAGTTTGTACTAGTTTTTTTTGATGACATTCTGATCTATAGCCTGACAGAGGAAGAGCACATTGAGCATGTCAAGAAAGTGCTGCAGACATTAAAAGAAAATCAGCTGGTGGTTAATCAGAAGAAGTGTGAGTTCGGTCAGCAAAAGCTGGCCTATTTAGGCCACATCATCTCCAAAATAGGTGTGGAGGCAGACCCCAGCAAAATACAGGACATGTTGAACTGGGACAAACCTAAGGATGCTAAAGGATTGAGGGGATTCTTGGGACTCACCGGGTATTACAGAAGGTTTGTTAAGGGGTATGGAAAAATAGCAGCACCCCTTAACAATCTATTGAAGAAAGATGGGTTCTGTTGGACACCTGAAGCCATGGGAGCTTTTAAGGAGTTGAAACAAGCTATGACTCGACTACCTGTACTCAAAATTCCTGATTTCAGCAAAACTTTTGTTATAGAAGCAGATGCTTCGGGAAAGGGAGTGGGGGCAGTGTTAATGCAGGAAGGGCGACCCATAGCCTACATGAGCAAAACATTATCCAACCGAAATCAAAATAAGTCAGTCTATGAGAGGGAACTGATGGCCATTGTACTAGCTATACAAAAGTGGAGATCATATCTGTTGGGGAGAAGATTTGAGGTGCACACGGACCAAAAGAGTCTCAGGTACTTGACTGAACAGAGATTATTGGGGGAGGACCAGCAAAAATGGGTCACTAAATTATTGGGGTTCAATTTTGACATTAAATACAAACCGGGGAAGGAGAACAAGGCTGCAGATGCTCTGTCCAGAAAAGGAGGATTCTATTCTTTGTCAGTGATAACCTGTCAAGAATGTGAGAGTTTAGAAACTGAGCTCTTGGAGGATGACAAGTATAAAGAAATCATCAAAATAATTTGGGGGCAACCTGAAGCAGTACCAGATTTTAAACTACAGAAAGGGTTACTCTATTACAAAAACAGGTTGGTGATTCCCAGAAATTCTGAAAGGAAGATTGCTATTCTTAAAGAATTTCATGAGTCAGCAGTAGGGGGACACGCAGGCAGCTTCAAAACTATGAAACGAATCTCCACTTTGTTCTATTGGGAAGGAATGAGGAAGGATATCCAGAGTTATATCCAAAATTGTGAAGTCTGCCAAAGGAATAAGCATCAAACATTATGTCCAGCGGGGTTGCTACAACCCCTACCCATTCCGGAGCAGATTTGGAATGATTTGAGTATGGATTTCATTGGAGGATTGCCAAAAGCAATGGGGAAAGATACTATCTTAGTAGTGGTGGACCGGTTGACAAAATATGCTCATTTCATAGCATTATCACACCCATATAATGCTAAAAGTGTGGCAGAAATATTCTTACAGGAGGTGGTCAGACTGCATGGATTCCCCAAAACCATAGTATCAGACAGAGATGCGGTTTTCCTAAGCTCATTTTGGACTGAATTATTCAGATTAGCCGGAACCAAACTCAAGTACAGCACTGCCTACCACCCCCAGACAGATGGGCAAACTGAAGTGGTCAACAAGTGTGTTGAAACCTACCTCAGATGTATGACTGGAATGAAACCAAAACAGTGGCCCAAGTGGTTACCATGGGCTGAGTTTTGGTACAACACAAACTACCATGTATCTACCAAGAACAGCCCCTACAAAGCACTCTATGGACAAGATCCACCTGTCTTAATTAAGGGAGATGTGGCCTTAACAGCTGTGGAAGAGGTGGATAGACTGACCGCTGAAAGGAATGCAATGATTGATGAACTAAAGAACAATTTGGATATTGCGCAGAATCGAATGAAACAGCAAGCTGATAAGAAGAGAAGAGAGGTTCAATTGAATGTGGGGGATAGAGTATATTTGAAGATACAGCCCTACAAATTAAAGACTTTAGCCAGAAGGAGTAACCAGAAATTGAGCCCTAGATTTTATGGGCCTTTTGAAGTAATGGAGAAGATCAATCCAGTGGCTTATAAATTAAAACTACCTGAAGATTGCAGAGTACACCCGGTGTTCCACATATCCCTGTTGAAGAAGACTGTATCTACTGCTGTACATACACAGCCTTTACCTAAATGCTTGTCAGAAGAGTGGGAACTGCAGGTCTGGCCAGAAGAAATAAAGGACAGCAGGATTAACACCAAAGGGGAAGCTGAGGTGTTGGTGCATTGGAAGAATATGCCAGCATTTGAAGATTCTTGGGAGGAGCTGAAACCCTTTCAGAAGCAATTTCCTGACTTCCACCTTGGGGACAAGGTGGTAGTTCCAGGGGGGAGTGATGTTAGAGCCACTCGGAGCCATGAGAATAATAATAATAATAGCTACTTTGACAAAGTATATGTAAGGAGAAGTAAGAAGTAGCGGGAAAGGGAGTTCTATAAATAGATAGCGGCTATTGTAATAAAGGAGGCTGGTTTTTTGGATTTGGTTTGGGCTGGGACTTGGAGAGAGGCATCTCTTAAAACTGCCAGAACATTATTCTCTCTCTTGTTTGTTATACGACTCCCCTCATTTACTGTTCATCAATCGATTTTCTCCATTTCCGTTGCTAGATCATATATCGCAGGTCTGATCCTAACAGGGTCCATTACCCATTTTTATTTCTGTTACATCATTTGTATTTTTTATGTAAACTTGTGTAAAAAAAATGCTAAGAAACCGTCTCAGTTACGCGATATGCGTTTTCGAACATTGCTCTGGATGGAGTTATGGATGAGCTTTGTAATTAAGACAATTCAGCTCCAGCGATATCTTACTGGGATCATCCTTGAAAAGAAAGATTGGCATCTGAAGTAAGTAGGTGAAGAGCTTCTAAGAACAGGCTAGCCTGCATCAGATACTCGTATATTATTGAACACTTCAGCTAAGTGATATTCTATTAGTCAAGAAACTGATTTCAGGGCAAACTTTTGTGTTGATCCACATTAATGCATAGATTTATACTCCGTATATGTTATAACAAACACTTAATGTTTAGTAATCTAGGAAGTAGGAACCAACATTTTGACCTAACGTAACCCCTGTCTACTGAAACAGTGGAACCCTAAATTTCAGTCTGTGTAATTCATGAGTTGTGCTACATTTTGAACCATTTATGGGTACGAAGTACTTCCTCTAGTGAGATCTTTTTTATGAAAAAAGATTCCGAATGTGACTTACTTGTATATGGTTCAACGTGGAAGGATGTAGAAACAGTCAATGCGGTGATTCAACAAAATAACCCGTGCACATATTTTAAGAATAACACGCAATTGTATCTAATGCATAGGAAATACAAAGTACAAGAAAACAGCATATAAATTAGATTGGACTTACCATCTCACAATCAAGTGCTAAAATCTCATATGGAGGAGTTCCTGAAGAAGCAGGAAGTGTTGAGCGATAGTCTGTTATGCAAAAATAAGGTAAGGAACTGAATACTCTATAAACCCAGCGGTAATACTACATAATATTCAATTTAGAGATCCTTAGCACCTGGCTTATCATAACAGTATGAGTTATCTTCCAATTCCTTAGCAGTAAGGGTATAATAAGTCATAGGAAATGGTATGTTTTTCGTAAGGTCGTGAAAAGATGAAACCTCTGAGCTTGAAGCGGTACACCCTGCATGAACAAAAAACATGTATCCCATTAAAGGTCCAGCAAGATAGTTAGACAACCAGCTTGTTTTCATAGCCATGTCATTAACTAGGCAGATCTCTTCCATCCACATGGCCACATGGGTTACATCCCTGGTTACACAGCTGTTTCTCATGGGGGTTCACGGGGTCTGAGGGGTTAGGCATGATCAAACGACTTTTGTTTATTACAAACATGTATTTCTAGTTATCTTTATCAATACTGTTTCAATGATCAAATTATCAGACCAATGATCGTATAAGTCATATGTGGTAAATTACGACTGCATATCAAATTGTTCGTTACAGGCTCCAATATGTATATTTCTCATGTTTAACTGTTTACTGCTTTCTTAGTTAACAAGCATAGCCTCATGAAAAGGCACTCAAATACTCCAGCAGGCCACCTAATGTTATAGTCCGAGATCAGTGTCATCTAATAAATGGATTCAAAATATACATAATTCAACTCATGAAACTCGACTAACGATGTTTAAGTAAGCCAACACACCTTACTGAATAAAGCCTCATCACGCTAAGAGCTTAGTTTTAAAAGGCACGAGGCGGCGCGAGGCGTTTTCATTGATTTACCCGAGGCGCTAGGCGGCGAGGCGCGCGCCTCACGGATCTTTATGTCATATCTTTGGTGAAATATATTTATGCTACTTCTACATGAAACACTCTTCTCAAAAAGTGATAACATCACAAAAATACTTCAAACTATTAAACAATCTTAATAAACATCCCAAATATTATTAAGACAAGCAAGAAATATATATTAAACGGCATCATTGCTAAAAATCAAGTCACAAAACTCAATTTTAAAACTTCAAAACATAAATAATAAACCATGGTATTATATTAAAAATTAATAATAAAAACTGTTATATATTGGATAATTAAAAACAAATATTTAGGTACCCTCCTCAGCCTGATTTAAAACAGATCGATAGAGGTAGTAACTCTACAATTTCAAGGTAATAAAATAATACATACTTAATTAATAAAATAACACACGCATAAGAGAATGAGAAGAATAAAAACTTACCTGCGAGGTTTTCCGAGGCAAGACAGCAGCGGAAGAAAGAATGGAGAAGAACAGAAAGATTAGAAGAGACTGAATCGCCAAAAGACATGGAATGGGAATCGCCAAAAGAGAATTCCACGAGGCGTGAGAAGCGCGCGCCTCTCAGACGCGCAAAAGGCGTCAAAAAGCGCCGTATAAGGCGCGCCTCTTGGAATCTACGCCGCCTGGGGTTATTAGATGCGATTAAGTGATCGCTTTAGGTCGCCTCGCGCCTTTGCGCGCCTCAGGCGCGCTTTTTTAAACCAAGGCTAAGAGTACAGTAAGTCCTAAAACCCACGCTACTTTGGATGAATCTATTGCCGTTTTTTTTTCAACAAAGGTTGTATTTAAAAAAACTTAAATAACCGTATGTAGATGCATTTGTTGAATTACTGTTTCCTTCCTACTCCAGTGCATAGAAATGTCAAACATCTAGGTAAAACATTCCTTTTCCACAAGCAATTACTAAACACATGACTATTTTACAAAGTACACCTTGTTTAGATGTTTCAGCAACCATTTTTGAGACATGTTCAGCATCATCCCTTTTTCTTTTCATTTTGTAGGTCAGGAGTGCATCTATAGTTTGTGTCCCATCTGATACACAGCTACCATAGAGTAAAATAAATAAATTAATAAATAAATACATTAATAAATAAATACTATTGGCGAGAGTTGAAACTTGCAAGGAATTGTCACATATATTCATTATATTGAAAAGCCACCTGAGAGCTAGAACAGCTCTTGGAATGCCACAACATTGTTTAAAACCTTTGAGATTTCTAGATCGCGACAAGTAGAGCGCTGCATCAAGCCCAGGCACATACAGCATAACTACTTTAGGAATCAAAGGCTTGTTCTGCAGAAAGTAGAGATAGAATTAGAGGTTTTAACCTCTCATGAGATGATATATCATTGTGATGCAAATTTACAGGGAACCATAAAAAGCGATAGTAACACGTAAGAACATAGCTAGCAGTCAGCATGTAGCATTTTCCCATTAAACATAGCCTAACCTTATGACTCATATGTCAAAAACATATTTATGTACAATTGTACAAAATATCTTTAACAACTAACTGCATTAAGAAAATATTGTAATACAAAACGTATGAGCATTTATTTGTGTAGTTGCATACATACACAAACCTGCATCATGAACCCTACTTTGTGATTATATATCATTTTCAATTTACAAGGTAAGGAGAAGATGTTTTTGCTCGCTTAGAATCTTCAAGAATCCTGTTTATTGGAGAAGCAATTTTTACATATTATTGAACATACATCTACTATTTATAATTGTATTGAAACCCCTTATAGTTGGATGACTTTTTAGCTATCATTTGCCCAACAAATAATATATACTTCAGTTTTTTACTCCTAGAACATAGCTAAGGCATAAAGTTAAAATTATACTCCCTCCGTCCCTTAAAACTTTTCCAGATTTGAGGTTTGTGCAGAAGAGAGAGAATTATCAGGAACCACAAATTCTTTACCAAAAAGGGAAAGTGGCAAAGTTAGTAGAACAACTAAAAAAGGAAAATTTTGGCAAAGTTTTAAGGGACGGAGGGAGTAAAATAACTCATTACCTATTTATCAACATATGTAAAAGCTAGTATCACAATGATATAGGTCCAATTACATACTCCCTCCATATTGAAATGTTTGCTACACTTTCCTTTTTGGGATGCATTATAGCTTTTGTTACACTTTCCCTTTTTGGTAAGTTTTCCCTTTAAAAATACTCAATTACCCTTATTTTTCCTACTTTTTATCTCCTCTTTCATACTTTTCCACCCTCTCTCCTACTTTTTCTAAACTATTCATCACCCCTAAAACTTTTCCGTTAAACACGGTGCCAAACCTTATTGTAGCAAACACTTAATCTTGGGTCTAATAAGTAATAACACACAACAAGTTGTGCTTTATTTGTCTGCACTGATATCTAGCAGAGAGCAATAACAACTATAAGCATAGTATACTGAAAGAAAGCTGGTACTATCATTCACAAGTATCTCATTCCTCATATCCCTTCACAACCAAGATAAATTAGTCCCTTTCATTGTGATTCAAGTATGTATGCAGGAAAAACAACAATACATATATTGAATGAACGGTATATAAAGGAATCACAATTTCATTACTTTGATAAAAACCCATGATGGCATGAAACCTTCAGCAAGCACCCAGGTGGCAAGGCCTTGCACTTCCTTGGTGAGCAAACCAAATACGGTTAATTCATTTAAAAGAAATGGCAAAACATATTTCAATATTCTGCATAGCCGTGAAACCATACTTGCAAATTCAATGTTGAGTTTGCTTCTGGCTGCTTGAAAACGACTTCTGCTCTACCCTGGAGTAAATGGCAAACTTGAGGGCCATTATTATGAACAGTTTATAAAATAAATGATTTAGGATGTCTCTTCTTGCACGAAAAGAACTTTTAATGAAATTATCAGTTTAACGGATAACTATTCCTTCTTGCATCCAGAAATGAACACACCATTCTAACATCCTGTTCATAAACAAATGTTAAGGATTCATAGCCACTAGAAGGTTTGCAGTACAGCATGCTTATTTCATTTAGATAAATGTGGAGAAGATTGCCAGGGAAAAGAAAGAGCATTTAAAGCTCTAACATTTCTATAGCACACTAATTCTATGGAGTTGAACACCTCATCAGTCATGTTTTCCTATGGACAGAGGGAAGCAAGAAAGACAGTGTACAGCTCAGTATTTCGCTGGCTAAAGCTCTGGTCTTTCATCTTTGTTACTGTTTACAACTTTATACAAGCAGATAAATTCTTATGCACAATACATAAAGCTACCATCTTCTTATGCACTCCCAGGTTTTGTGTAAGAATAAGCATTCAAGCTCAAAATGCTAAACCGTTAAGCTACGTATATGCAAGGAGCTGAGGACACAGGTCGCAGAATTCTTATACAACTTCCTGTCCAGTTTTTACTTTTACTTTGAATTTAAAATTTGCCTATCCCATTCCCAAGCGAATTGATTTACCTATGTTGTTAGTGCTCAGATCGCTTCAGCAGACATAATAGCAATGAACTGAGTTAAAGAGTTCGGGAACAGCTTTCCCTCCGCGAAAGTTAACTTCTTAACCTCCACTTAACTGTGACACTATACCCATAAACATATGAATTCCACCCATAGCGCACCAAAAGGAAAAACGTCGCTTCTTCTAATATGAGTTCAGAAGCATAGGCATGAGATGAGAAAACCTAAACAGATATATGTTCGACTACCTCCCACAAAAATATGCGGCAGAGGCCAGGGGAGAAGATGGAGAAACCTGTGGGCCATAAATTTGAACGAAAGTTTCATCTTTTTCGTGATTGGAATCTTCTTCTGCGCAACCGTTGCTTCTGCTGTTCGACGGATTCATCAAAGCAAGATGGAATTCTGGGAGTGTGACTTGTGTGGAGTGGCCGAGGGATTAGAAAGTGGGAGCAGTTTGCGGTGCTGCAGGAAACAGACCTGTAAGATAGTTGATACGAGCAGCGGCAAGCGGCCGCACACTAGCCCGGGGGTGATTCCATTTTAGTCCTTTGTTTTGTTTGTTACACTTTTTATTTTGGAAGAATGGGTTTAAATGGAAAACTATATTGAAAAAGTTTTCCCATTTAAATATCGAAAAAGTTTTCCCATTTAAATGGAAAGCTCTTGTACTATATCGAAAAAGTTGATTAGACTCTGGTACTTTACAAACACTCAATTAAGTCCTCCAACTAATAAAAACCGTTCAATTAAGCCCTTTTGGTCGGTAAGTAACCGGTTTCCCGATTAAACGGTGACGGCGGCGACGATGTGCTCGAACCCCAGCAACGGCGGCTGCCGGCAAACGGGTTACATTTAACCAGGAAACCGGTTACTTACCGACCGAAAGGGCTTAATTGAACGTTTTTTAATAGTTCGAGGACTTAATTGAGTGTTTGTAAAGTACGAGGGCCTAATCGACTTTTTCGGCATAGTACGAGGGCTTATTCGATAGTTTTCCCGGTTTAAATTGATAACATCTTAGTCATATTTACCCCACAGCATTCGGGGAAAGGATCACACGAAATTGCCATCCTTGAATTAGATACTTGTTGCATGAGAGATCGATTTGATTCGCTAAGTTATTGTACTATATGCCGTGAGATCGCAAAAAATTTAACATTGATCAATGTTGCTCAATTAAATAATTTACATGTGATTAAGCCTAATCGGCCTAAAATCTGATTACCCCGGAATTAATCATCGTTTCCTTACATCATTAATTAGAAAGAGACTTTTATATTTATTGCTTTTTCGCATTTTAATTTTTCCATTAATCCAAATCTCGCACAATTGCATTTTATTTATTTATTTTAATCATTAAATTTAGTTAATTACTGATTGTTTTTTTCCGTCCCTGTGGAGACGTACTCGTACTTAAACCCTATATTACTACAAATTTTTAGTGCGAAAACACACACAACAATTTTTGGCGTCATTGTCGGGGACAATGTCGGTTTAAGTGTTAGATAAATTTCAACGATATTTTTTTAGTTAGTTTTTTCCTTTGGTTTGTTCGTAGAATTTTTCTTTGCCAACGTTTCAGGTAGAAAAAAATACTTTCTTAAAGAGATATGAGATGAATCAATTCAGCTCAATTCCTGAAGGAACGCCTTACCCTCAAACTTCCACAGCATATTCACCATATATGCTCTATCCTCCTTACATTCATCATCATTCATCAAAATTACACTCATCGATCATTAATACTTCTCTCATACCACAAAATATTCAGTCTTCTTATCCTTACCCTCCTCACAGTATGCAATACTCTCAATCTCATTCTTCTCACCATTATACTCCCTCGCAATACCCTAGGGTAAATCGCGCTCTATTCTTGAATATCTTCTTCAAACTAAAACTCCTGAGGAATTGTCTCATTACTTTCCTAAGAATAGCACATGTTCCTTCTGTGGAGGATGTCACCATTTATCTCTTTGCCGTGTTAAACCTCCATATGATCATCCTTTCTGGGCAACTGTATACCACACTTCTTCCTCCCCACGAATTAAGAACACAAATGTTTCAGTCATTTCTACATCATTACCGCATAATGAGCACAAAATCAATTTAAGGAGACAATTTCAGAGAGACTGTCTGACTTGAAAGAGATACTCATGCAGTTCATCATCACGTCTCAAATCTGGAATATAAACAACGTGGTGGGTCAGTCGGCAGAAGTCGAACCTGAGGAGACCAATATGGATGATCAAGGGAGTGAGTCAGGGCTACGATGGTGGGAATATGATGGATGATACATTTCCTGATGCTTTTGAAATTCCATCCTTGTTTGAACTTCAACAAAAAGAGAGTGGCCTTGAGTCTGTGCATCAAGAATCCATGCAACACATGCAAAAGTTTCAAACGATACAATCTGAAACTGATGAAGACACAGATCACCTTGATTTTCATATAGAAACTCTCCAACTGTTTGATTTACCATTAGTTTCAACCCCTGATGAGGCCATGGAGCAGATCAGTCATGACATTGTTGAAGCCACTGAAGGAGGTTTGAATATTGAAGATGAGTTGAGAGAAGACAATCACAAGCTCCAAGAGAGTGGTAACGAGAAGAATGATGTCCGTAATGAAGAAGTCTCACTACATATGCAAGATTACCCCTCTTGTGCACATGCAGCGATCGGCTCTTACGTTATTCCAGATTTGGATTTCTTTGATTCACTCCTTGGGGTGCTATTCCTTCTTGTGTGGAGAATGATTTCAAGTTCCTGGAAGATATTAATAAGAGCAGTGACAATGAGAGTTGGGATGCCTTCGTGTGGAGTGATATTGAGTCAATAGTGGGTACTCTGAATTTTAATGGTACATTTGAGCGATAAAAAGATGTGTTTGTGATGCATTTTGAGCATGAGGGTGTGAATATCATTCTACCCTTGTTTGCTAATGAGGTTCATGAAGACCATGTGATTCCTACATGGTTTCAAGAATTTAAGAATTTGTGCTACATAATGGCATTTGTTGAGGGAAAGCTGGATACTTTGATGATTAGGGTCTCACTGTAGTTTTTGCTATTTGAGAGCATATGAGGTATCGTCGAGCAAACGACGTTAAAAATAACGTTTCTTGGGAGGTAACCCAAGTTTCTTTTTTCACATTTGTTGTTCTTTTTTATCGCTTTCAGTTAACTTCGGAAAAATCCCAAAAACAAAATTGGGGGGTTTTCGCCCGTTTTGGTTTTGTGTTGTGTTTTTGCAGCTCCAAATTTCTCCCAAGAGATGATGTGCCATTGAAATTGATGACCCGGTGTGTCTGGTGCCCGAGACAAAGATCTAGGAGAGTTTCTACTTTCCTTTCTTGTTATTTTCTGTTGGGTTGAGTTAGTTGAGCACGTGTGACCCATTCCTTTTTACCCCTTGTTTATATTGCATTTATGGTCATCGAGGGCGATGCCAAAGTTTAAGTGTGGGGAGGAATCGGGCTTTCGGGCAGTAGTTGTTACATGAGATTGTTAGTGTTAGCATGCGCAAATGTTAAATGTATATTGGTAGAAAAGTCATGTCAATTTTTTTTTGTCAATTTCTTGTTTAAACTGTTTCTTTGTGAGCTGACTAGATTTGTGAGTATACTATAAGAATGTCTTTGGAATTTTTAGGCTTAAATTGTTTGCACTATTAATTTGGTTGATGAGGGGATGAAGGCATTAGTTATCCATTTTATTCTTAATATTTCATCTCACTTGAATAAGTCCTTTAGGAGAAGCCATTTTGAGCTTGACCGTTCTGTTCTTTTACCCATAAATCGAGCTCTAATGCCAAATGGTCTATGTTCTTACCCGTGATCAATTCTGACAGTATTTTGGTGTTTAGGAAACTAGGGGGTTAATTTGCTAAGATTATGAAGTTTTGTAGGAGCCGGTTTGGACACTGTTCCTATGTCCCAAATGGGATAAGAGTAATCACTTTTTAGGATTTTGATATTTTTAGGATTGCATTGTAGGCATAGATTCACTTTTTTAAATGAACCTTAATTGCTAAATTTCCTTGGTGAGGCCAGGATTAAAATGGGGTAATGTCTAGTAAAATTCATAAAAAAAAAATTAATTAATATAGCTAGACCTCTTACCTTGCGAAAAAAGAGAATGGGAGATCCGGTCAAAAAGTGTGAGTGTTTTGCACAATAAGATGAGACTTGGAATCTTTCTAAAGAAATGACGATCTCGTGCCAACATGACAAGGAAAAATAACTGATTAAAATTGGACTTGAAGGCTTTTGCAAAAAATTAGCATTAGTCATTCGCGTACCTCAAGTATACGTCAAAGCAGAAATTTTCAGCGACGGTTTAGTTTAGTTGTACACCATGCCTACTCCTCGCATAGAGATAGATAAGAGTTCCTAGTTAGGGTCTTGCTGAATTCCTTGATCCTAAGAATAGCCCCGAAACTCCCGAATACTTTGAGTCATTGTCAGGTTGTTCCAATCTCTCAACGAAAGGGATTGTGCAACATTCACCGTCACTTTCACAAGTCCTTCTGATCAGGAGTAAGATTACTTGTGTGCGTTGTTTTAACTTCAGTGATGTTGTGATTATTTTTGTCAGTAATTTTAGCCAGAGTACAAAGAGGTAGTTTATGGAAGAAATTTTCTTTATTTATTCTGTTTTTCTGCGAGTATCCCTTTAACTACTTCTACATGCTGACTGTTTTGATGTCGTGCGGTGATTATTGTAAGTCTGGAAGTTCAGTTGCTTGAGCACAAGCAAAAGCTTAAGTGTGAGGAAATTTGATAAATCAGTATTTCAACATGCGTGTTGAGATCGGCTTTTGATGGTTTTCCTAGCTAAAATGTGTCACAAGTCTCCTAATTAGCTCAAGTCAAGTCATGATTTACCGGGTTTTGGTGTATGTTTGGTATTTTTTTAGAGTCACAGTTAGAGAACTTAGTTCGGCACCGTCGTTTGAGAAGTGATCAGGAAGACTAGAGACACATTTGAGAGTTTTTTTTGGAGAATTGAAGGTCCACGAGATATTAATGAAGTGACTTTGAAGGCAAAAGAGCTCTAGGATTGACAACATGATCAAAAGAAAACAATAGAGCTTGAAAACGGCGATCAGGATAACATTTCATCAATCGTTCAACATTTTTTTTGTAGAAACATCACAAGGACACGATTCAAGTTCCATATGAAATCTAACTCCAATGGCTACAATTCATATGACGACACAAAAATGACAATGTGATAGGAGTAAGGTGAAAACGGATGAGGAAGGAAGATTAGAGACACATTTGAGAGTTTTTTTTGGAGAATTGAAGGTCCACGAGACATTAATGAAGTGACTTTGAAGGCAAAAGAGCTCTAGGATTGACAACATGATCAAAAGAAAACAATAGGGCTTGAAAACGACGATCAGGATAACATTCCGTCAATCGTTCAAGCATATTTTTTTTGTAGAAACATCACAAGGACACGATTCAAGTTCCATATGAAATCTAACTCCAATGGCTACAATTCATATGACGACACAAAAATGACAATGTGATAGGAGTAAGGTGAAAACAGATGAGGAAGGAAGATAAT